AAATTACAAAGCTGCAGGGATCATGAGGAAGAAAATATAACTAACTTATGTCTGGAACATTACTGTCACAGGTTATTAATGCTGTCTTCCCCTTTTGTCTCCAACAATTCCTTCTTAGAGCATATTATCAAAACATTATATTAAAACATTATATTAAAATTATTATTATTTTTCCCATGAGCAAGTATGTCATCTCAGGAAGTTCTAAATTAAAAATGTTAGGCTATTTCTTTTTTTAACTCTTTTATACATTTTTTTCCCAAGTAACCTTTAATTATGTATCCACAAGTACCGACTGTCATCCTTCAGATAGTTTATGGAATTAATGGTGGTAGAGTACTGAATAAATTAAAGCAAGAAGTATTAACTTTATTTGTGAGGTCTTGACTGAGATTCCCTGCCTGCTCTGGTCAGATATTTAATCATGAACTCTTTATATGCTTCTAACATATAATAGACCTTTTTAATAAGGTTTGTATATCACTATAGGCAATAATCATCTGATTTGTCTTGTTTACAAGAAGAGTATCGGGTTGTATTAATTCTTTTTCATTATAAGATGTGATCCTTTTATATTTCATAAATATCCAACAATAGATACTTCTAGTATGAAATATACTTAAAAGATACGGTATTTCCAAAAGCTAATCATCCACTTTTATCTTCAGACATGATTATACATATCCAAAAGATGACACTTGCAAGGATCCACATTATTAAACATCCAAATGAGTGAAACTGATGATAAGAAAATACGTGGACATCAGCCTTCACAAGATTAAAAAATAAGCAACATCAGTAGTATCTGAAAATGAAATTAGCATTGGATTTCGCAAGATGAACCCCCGCAGTGTTGCAGTTATGCAAAGCTTCACACGATGGAAGGGCTTCCTCTAAAGGTTCTGCTTACTGATCCTACTGACCTTCTCTAGCAGAAAAGGTCACAATCTATGTTGGAAGGCTTTTCTGCAGGACTAAAGGCAGGAAATAGTTGGAAGGAATGAAGAAACATTTCAGAGAGAGTAATAAAATTTTAATAGGTTTTGCATGAGAAGCTGTATAATTGATCCTTTTCTAAAACTGTAAGACTTCCTCTCATTCAAACTATGTTGCTTCATGGCATTTGTATTTTCAAATGACCGCTAAATACTCAGTAACATACATATAAGCAGAGCTCTACTGAGATTGGTAAGGAAGAATAAAATTGCATAAAGTACTTCCATATAGACTCATAAGATTAGTTTTCAAATAGACAGAAAATGGACAGGGGTTAAAAGCAATATGAAATCACTAAGTGTTTCTTAATGGTAAGCTATCAGAATAATAACACATTCTCTTTGCTTGGACTCTGACTGGATTTTTCCCCTTTGAGAAGGAAAGGCCTTCTTAATTTCCTCATTACTCTTACGGAAGCATTTAGAGATTCAAAGGAAAACTGAAATGCATATTAATAAAAATCATTGAGTAAAATATTCCATATTCTGAAACAGTGGATGAATCCTAAGTTAAGTCTCTACTCGAATCACAATTCCATTAATCTCCACACTAAGGTCACATTGGCTTGCACTCCATTTTAAAGCATTCATCTGAATATCTACTTTTCTACTTCTCACTGTCAAAGCTTTTGAAACTTCTGACCTAGTAGCAGCATTGAACTTCACAGACTGAACTTCACAGATGAAAATAGTTTCCTGTACAGCTCTTCTTAACAAATGTATCTACTAGTTTAAAACTATAAAACCAACCAAATAAAATGCCTGTGACAAGCACACAATTTGCAGCTCTTGCTAGCAGTCTCCCCAGGCTGATGGTAGTCATTCATTTTTCATCTCAGCTTCATTCTGCTCTTAGTATGAGAGCTTTGTTACGCTTTTCTAGCTGCACGTTCCTATATAAAATATGAAATTATATTCTCACTTATTTGAGATTTGTTCCTGCTAGTCATTTAAAGAGTTGAGCTGAACTACAGTTCTTAATTCTCAGATTTTTATTTTACAATGAGTTTTATTTTTCCTTCTGCATTAGTTTCCTTGATACCAGGGTATGAGTACAGAAAATTATCCCAGCAAGAGACCAGCTCCAGCAGCAGGCAAAGTAGGCACTACACTAGGGTGACAGAGAGCTTGTTTTTGCCTGTATCAAAGAAGAGACGGGCTGACTGTTCTGGCTCAGTTGGGCTTCGGTCTCTGCTTCATGACTTTGTCCATAAAAGGCACGAGGATGCAGCTCTCTTCCCAGCAGCAACACCACCACTAACAGGAGCAGAAAGCTACTTTCCGTACTTGCTAGACCCAATTACTGACCTTTCCCTTCACCCTGGGTGGTTCATATCAGAAAGTAGTGACGGGTACTGGAAAAGGCAACTGCTTGAGATGAGGGATGCACTGAATACAAAATAAATTTTTTATAAGGACTGGGAACATGCTGGGGCAGGGGAGACAGAGAGAGAGAAAGACCATACAGTCTCCTGAAACTTGGTGAACTTTCCCACTCGTAATTCTAGACTTTCTTCACCAAAGCAATATGTTTAAACTCTACCAAGTCTTCTCAATTCTATCACTGATACAAAAAAAAGCAGTACTACTACTAGCAAGAAGACTTGATTTGGTTCCAATATAAAAATTAGAGTATTAGGAATAAAGGATTTTCCATTCAATAGGCAGCTTCCTCTTCCTTCTACACTTTTTGCCCATGACTTGCTCATTTCACAGATTCATACTGAATCACAGAATGGTTGAGGTTGGACAGCACCTCTAGAGATGATTTGGTTCAACCCCGCTTTCATGCTTGTCCAATCAGATATCCTTTTCTGTTGCTTCAAACTACATCTGTTTCTGTTGAATTTAAACTACATAAATCACATAAGTGAAACATAGGATGATTCAGAAGAGCACAAAAACTGGATAGATTTTAGAATCATCTCTATCAGCTGTGCCTTTCCAAGTCACTCTGTTTTGCAGAAGAGCAGGTCTACAGCACTGATAACTCCTATTCCTGTACTACTACACTACACTAAACTAGTGAACTGTACTAGCGTAGTACACACAGGATCTCTCAATCATCCACTTTCAAATAATGCTTTTCTTTCATACAAATGCATACGCATTTTGTTCATACAACATCATTTATATGTACCTTTTCCTACAAATACATTGGCTGCTGTTGTCTTGATATCATCTACTGTGGCTTTTCTTTTTTATAAAGTTTTTACTTTGATAGGCATGAAAATCAAATCACTTGTCATTAAGTTTTACAGGACGTACACTCCACAGTAGATAAGTTCTGACTGATTTTATGATCTTAACCATAAACTGTAGCCCTTAGTAAGTAATCAGTCAACCATGAGCTGACAAAGATCCACCATATCTGGAAATAACCAGAGGTAACCAAAGAAATCCTCACACCTAAGAAATATTTACTGGAAGGGTTTTGCCTGAGATCCAAGAACCTGTTTATTCTAGTTGATTTTGAAGAATGGTGACTTGCAGACCAATACCAGTAATACCAAAGGTTAATCACGTCTTTAAAACAGAAAATAAGAAGTTCAAGGAGGGTGGCAGGAGAAGAAGAAAGGGAAATTCCTTTCAGAAGAAAAGGTATCTTGATTGCAGCAAAGGTTATAGGGAATGGCTGCAGAGAACAGTTTGAGAGCTACTTGAGGAGAAAGTGTGACTTGGAGCAGTGCCTTCCAAAATGAGGCCCTGCAACTTGCACGGGTTCCTGAGCCATTCGAGAATGCCTAGACAAGTCAAAAGATGATCAGCTAATGTTGCATATCCAAATATGATCTTACCGTAATGTACATGCCTCTTATGCATATATTTTTTAATGTGTGTTTGCCTTTTATGCTATCATCACCTTCAGAAGTTCTTCTCAAAACATCTCTTGATAGGTTTCAGGAACAACATGCAGGTTTTAAGATGGAACATTCCAGTAACCAAAAGGACAGGGACTGTGATAAATTATTTTTACGGCTTCTCCCACTTACTTAGAAATCTGCAAGACTGGTCTGAATATCTTCTTATAGTCAGCTGCTGGCATACTGGTGAAGGCTGGTGAAGGAAATCTCCTACACGACTGAGAGAAAGTTTACTACTCCAGGACTCCAGCCCTCCCCTCCATGTCTCCTCACAAAGAGGCTCATAGAACTCTGCTTATCATTTTGCCTCAGAAAAATGGGTTCTGACAATAGTAGAAGCTAACTCAGCTAGCTATTTCCCAACTCAGTTTAAGATGTTTTCTCAGATAACATAGCACCTGCAATTTTTAAATTGTTTTTCATGAGGCACACTATGGTGCCAATAAAACACTAACATGCTGCCTGCAAAGTTAGCTACAAAAGATACCAAATGACATTTTAACAGAGAGAAAAATGTCTGAAGCCAGCATGCAGGTCAAACAAATCAACTGAAAAAAAAAGAAAAAAGCCACTTAATTTTCTTCATTCGTGCCACTCTGACTGGTTCAGCCACAGATGACATGATGTTTTCCCCTCTGAGTCAGTTTGCTGACTGCCTCCTTCAAAAATTAATTGAAATAAGTGCATCCTATAATTTGAAATGAAATAGGCTCAGCAGGTGAGTAAGTTTTGTCGACTGATTACTGAGTATTGATTTTTCACCAATTGTACAAGTTACACTCCATGAGGCCATCTTCACGTTAACCTATAATACATAAAATCACCTCAGGCTAATATCCACTGAAAGATTTGTATTTTTAGAGGATTCAGAAGAAAAACACAATGTCACAGTCTCCAACTTGTTTCTTTGCCACACATTTAATGGCATTTATTTGGACAGCATTCACACATCATACTTAATTCATCATAATGTAATGTAATTTCTGTTCTGATTTCCCAGCAGGAATTTAAGGCAATGCTCCAAGACAGACTTCCTAAACCTTATTCCTAAATTAACTTCAATAATTGTACAGATATTAAATTAGATTCTCCCATGATATTAAAGAAACCAGTGCCTCTATAAAGTGACAGAATAACTTACTGTGGCCTGGAGGCTTCTGCTTGGTCTGTCTGGAGCTTCTCCCCGCCTTCCACTTCCATTGTGCAATAAACAATCCGATTGGGAGCTACTGACTTTAAACCTTGCACTTCCATTATAACAATCTGTAGAAAAGAAAGCAAATAACTTATCCATCTCATTTCAGAACACATTATATGGCACAGATATCACAGGATTAAGCTTCACATAAGAGAAAGAAAAAAAAACCACCCAAATCTTCACACACATAGGAGAATTTTAGCTTGCCTTCTTTGCCTTCTTTTCCTAATTTCAGCTATATACACTAAGAATGGAAAATGATACTGTTTCTACTTAGACAACATCTGAATACTCCCTTCAATCATAATTCAAATGCTAATAGCTCCATCAGGCATTTTATGACATGTAAAGAATAGATGCTTCAGTCTAAAAGTCTTAATATACTTAATTTGTCAAAACTCTCAGACAGGTTCTGGGACATGCAATAACTTGTGAAGAATATATACAATTATACAATTTTCTGAGATCTTGTGTTATTTGATGAATACTCTTCCCTGCTATAAGTGAATGTCTCCTGTGCTCAGTGAACTCAGGATCTGACTTTTGATGGATCTGAACGCACTGAAAAAAATGGTGCAGTGAAGTAGAGATCGCAACCTTTTAATTTCAGAAATGATTTGTGCTGTCCTGAGCAGTAGACAGGTCAAAACCTTGCCATCAGTGACTGTAATTTCCTTCCTCTGCCTTTTGCTTCTCACAGCACGCTCCTTGCAGTCAGGTTCAGTGCACATATGGGAAAGAAGAGGGAAAAAAGCCACCTCACTCAGCTGTATCCTGGCTGAGAAATTTCCTCACTGGGGAAATTTTAAGCTTGGCAAAACCAACAGTTTTTCAGCTCCTCTGAGTTAGTTATATTTCAGAAGAGCCAAATTCAGTCTAACTTCAAGTGCTCTCTGCCTTATATAAACATTGCAGTTTGACATAGTGTGAAATTACTGGAATTTTTTACACTTCAGATGTTTCAAATTCAGAGAAGAATTGAAAAGAAATTCAGGTTTTCCAGCTTGCGAAAGCTGCTTTCCTTTTTGGCCCTGTTTTGACTGATGGGAAGAATCTAGAAAAATTGTCTTCACTTGATCTTTAGAAAAGCTATCCTCAGCTGAACTAAACATGAAATACAGAATACTTGTTTGTTTTAAAAGTAACAAAAAAAAAATGACTAGTTTTGGTCTAATCAGAAGTAATCAGTTTCATAGATCAGCAAGCACTTATTCTTACCTAGCACCATTGTAATGGTTAGGCCTTGCAAAACTGTCTGCATTGGATAATATTACCATAACCTGATAGTCTTCGGCCATTTACAGCCATTTTAAATTTGCCATATCAACATCACCTATTATTTGTTGTAAATAATAACAGCAATTCAAGGACAATGATATGCTCATCTCTATTCTTTTCCATCTTTTGTGAGCTAAGATTTCGAGTAGTTAGAAAAGTGATCAATAATCACTGAAAGACTGCAGCAGAGCTTTAGCTCATACTTCCTATACTGCCTACATGCTAAATGATTTTCCTTGTTGAAAGACTTCATGTTTATTCATTTTTATGCCAATATTTTTTCCCATGAGTTTCCAATTAAATTGGACAGCACATTTTTCTTTGCTAGCATTTCTGGATTACAGGAATTGAAAAAAACACATTCATTACAAACAAAACTCTCACCAGCTGATTAACTTGCTCATTAGCTGATAAACAGCTTTCTCAATATTGTCTGTTTCTTTCTCTAACTCTCCAGCAGCTTAAGAACATAACTGAATAAATATATATTTTCTGCTATCATTCTGATATTTCATTTATTTTACAAATTTCTGAAAATAGGCTATCTGATGACATATTCAGTTTTCAAAAACAGTCATTGTCGCTTGCAGTGAATACATCTGAATAGGTCTTATCTTAGAGACAGTGAAGTCTATTCCCACCAAAATTTTATAAACATTACTAACATACACTGTTGTTCTGCCTTAATAATCACATGCAGCAGCAGCATAAAATCCCTAATTTTCATTTGATTTTGGGTGTTTAAAAATACCAGACTAGCAACCCTGAGAAGAGATTTTTTCTAATTATCACCAAGCTCGTGAGATAAGCATGCAGTTTATGGGTGCACAGGAGAAGGCTAGAAGGTGCTTTACAAGGTTATGGTCCCCTTTTCTGTTTTCCACCACATAAATTAAAGAGCTTAGTTTTAAGGATTATCTTGATAATCTTATCTGTGTATATATTCTCATAAAGCTTTGTTGTATAATCCATGTGCATGCAATGCAAACATGCACACACAAGTACTCTACCAAATTTTCTCTTGAGATTCTCACCAGACAAAAAACATTAAAACTGTTGATTAAACCAGCCATACCAAAAAATAATCTGCAGTAAAAAACTGCCTTCTTCCATCCTGTAAATGCTGGAGTGAAACATTTTAAAATCCAAGTAAAGAAGAAGAAGAAGAAGAAGAAGAAGAAGAAAAAAAGTAATTCTAGCCTAAATAATGGTTTTGATATACTCCCTACAGCTTGATATACTCCCTACAGCTCACTGGTATTCATTTTTCTCATAATCATTTGCATTAATTTTGAGTAGATGCAGGTGGATATCCAAAGGAAAGTATATTTCCCCCAAAGATTAATATCACTCTTATAAAAGACTGCCTAGAATCTGCTTTTTATGGACTTGGAAACAGGAAGTAAATAGAAAATAAATAGAATAAGAGAAATGGTAGCTTACACAGTGAACAAATGATTAAGCCCTTATTTCAGAAGGTGAGTAGTCTGCTAAAACTCAGAAAACTAAACACAAAATTGTTTTTACCTGAGTGCATCTGCAGTGTGAACATTACGGAAAAGAAGAATAAAAGACAGCTGTACACAGCTATTATATCACATAACTAAATTAGGTACTTCAGAATATTTCAGAATATTTCAGAATATTTAAGGTTGGAAGGGACCTCTACAGATCATCTAGTCCAACCTTCCTGCTCAAGCAGGCACACCTAGAGCATGTGGCACAGGGTGGCATCCAGGCGGGTTTTGAAGACCTCCAGAGAAGGAGACTCCACAACCTCCCTGGGCAGCCTGTTCCACTGCTCTGTCACCCTAACAGTAAAGAAGTTCCTCCTCACCTGGAGACGGAACTTCTTGTGTTTCAGCTTGTGGCCATTACCCCTCGTCCTATCGCTGGCCACCAGTGAGAACAGCCTGTCCCCTTCCTCCCTGCATTCTCCCTTCCTGAACTTATACATATTAATCATATCCCCTCTGAGCCGTCTCTTCTCCAGAGAAAACAGGCCCAGCTCGCTCAGCCTCTCTTCATACGAGAGATGTTCCATTCCCTTAATCATCCTGGTTGCCCTTCTCTGGACCCTCTCCAGAAGCTCCACGTCCTTCCTATACTGGGGTGCCCAGAACTGAACACAGTACTCCAGGTGCGGCCTCACCAGAGCTGAGTAGAGGGGCAGAATCACCTCCCTTGACCTGCTGGCAACGCTCCTCCTGATGCAGGCCAGGATGCCATTGGCCTTCTTGGCCACGAGGGCACACTGCTCACTCATGGTTAACTTAGTGTCAACCAGGACTCCCAGGTCCCTCTCCGTGGAGGTGCTTTCCAGCAGGTCCACCCCTAATCTGTACTGATGCCTGGGGTTATTCCTCCCCAGGTGCAGGACCCTGCACTTGTCCTTATTGAACCTCATGAGGTTCCTCTCTGCCCAACTCTCCAGCCTGTCCAGGTCCCTCTGGATGGCAGCACAGCCCTCCGGAGTGTCGGCCACTCCACCCAGCTTGGTGTCATCCGCAAACTTGCTCAGGGTGCATTCCGTGCCCTCGTCCAGGTCATTGATAAACAAGTTGAACAGCACTGGGCCCAGTACTGACCCCTGGGGGACACCACTGGCCACAGGCCTCCAGCTGGAGGCCCAAAGACCAGACAGCACTGCAAAGCAAAGGAGGCCAAAGAAGGCCGGATAGGAGAGACAAAACTAGGCATTAGTGTCATTTTCCTTCCCAGAAAAAGTCTAGTTTCTAGCCAGTGTGAGAGGTGAGATAATGAAACCTATTGCAAATGACTGACATGATAGAATTGGAGTGGAAAAGGATAGGGAAGTATTGTAATTGCATGAAAGCTGCACAGATTTGACATCTTACTGTACACAATTCATTTCCATTGTGCAAAGCTTTCCAGAAAGGCATGGATGTGTTGCAGCATAGAGAAAAAGCCAACAAAAATTGCTGCAGAACTGAATAATCCCTTGAATCTATTTTTAGGCTTTAAAAAAGGGACATTTCAGCAACTATAGTGTCTTTCACTATTGGATGCTACCTGAGCATGATGGTGATAAACACATTGCCATGTCCAATATACATCACGAAAGCAAAAAAAAACTATGCGTAATAAGCATGCGTTCTGATGACTAATTTTTCATTTTGCTTTGTTTTTTTTGTTGTTGTTGTTTTGTGTTTTTTTATCAACTACATTAAATATAATAACAAAATGTACTTTAACTGATTACTTAGCACTTACTACTTTTTAGGTACTTCAAAACTATTCTTTTTTATAGATATTTATGGTATCAATCCTGAATCTGTATTCAACTTCAGAATGACCAATTGTACTACTCTTTGTTTGGCTTTTGCATTATTAGATAGCAATATTAAAATTGTATACAGTAGAAGAAACCAATCAATTATGCTTACATAGAGGATCTAAACTTCTACAACTGCCCCAGTTATACGTGAAAGTCAAATGCCCTTGCTATGGTAGTACTTTGTATTTAGTGTTATACTTGGTATGACATAAATGTGGTACCTTCTGACTGACAAATACTCTGACAATATTTGGATTTTACTATTCCTCAAGATCAATATTTCTCAATATGAACATTTTCAGAACTAGACCTAAGCTATGATTCTATAATCAGATATGGTGATTTCATCATTAAATCAGTTGAGCTCTGTATGGATTAGGACTCAATCACTATAGGTCAGTTTTCCTACTTAATCTCAGTAAACATGAGGTTAATGATCTTAAATTTGTCTAGAATTATGACAGTTGTGTGGGAAATTCACCTGCACATGCTGTTTGAACCCCAAAGCAGCTACTAGTGCAAGAGGAAAATCTATTATATATTTGCAGCCTAACACCTAAGTATAAGAGACGGAAGGATCATCATTTACTTATTTAAAATAAAATATTAAAATAATAAAAGTAATCACAAAACCAAGGGAAGATTAATGACAAAAAAAAAAAGTGTAAAGAAATAGGTATTAACTATCATCAAAGGCTAGGTGAAACATGTGATTACCTCTAAAGTGAATGACAGCACAACATCAGACTTTGATAGCTGAATCTCATTTTCATCTCCTATGTCCAAGAAAGCAGAATTCTGTGATCGTTTCAGCTTCTGCAGTTTAAATTCTGGCCCACCTTTGGACACTGGAAGACTTTCCAGATTTGCCATAAGCAGATTCACTGAAGACCGCAACTCTTCTATGTACATGTTCTCCATTTCTCTTGTTACAAATTTGGGGAATTTTCTTTCCTTGGAAGATATATTTTAAAAGTTAGGGACAAAAATCACTAGTGATAACGCATTATACAATCTGTTAAATTGCTCTAACTTAGAGATAATTTATAATAATAAAAATCTTAATTCCAATTGTATTCAAAGCAGTAAGAAAATGCAAATCCTGTCATATTACATCACTAATAGTGACTAGAAGAAATGCAAATTGACTTGAGATTTCCATCATATTCCTTAAGTATACTGGACTTATCAGAAAAATGGACATATCAGAAAAATAAAGGGCATCTGCAAAAAGGAATCTCTTCCCCTGTAGATTCTTTCAATGTTAAACCTATGCTGAATATTTGTGCATACATTGCATATTCATACAACAGTTTTAAGTATACATTTAATTTTACCTTCAAATATTTTATAAGTTGACAAAATGAATTGTACAACAATGATTTTGAGCATTGAAAAAAAAAAATACTGTGGCAAAATGGAAGATAGGAATGACAGACTTAATTATATAGTTAAGAGACCACTTTCTCTTTTTAGAAAGCTTTTTACAGTGTCTTTTGCTGCATATTTTTTATGATTACAATCTTCCATGATTTAAGGCAGCACTAATGGAAGATGTGCAGCACTGTCAGAATAAATGGAGGCCTTTAGTTGAGACCTGTAAAACCTAAATGTTTGATTCACAGCAGAAACTTTCCAGCATTATCCACCTCTCTCTCTTTGAAGAAAACAGGCAGGGTTCTTCTATGAGAACTCTGAGACTCTCTCGTCTCTGCTTTATTTTTTAAGACAATCAACATCTTACAAATTCCTGCAATATATAATATTTGAAATAACTTAGAGGCATGACAACAAGAAAAGAATGTTTTCACAATCGTATTTTTTAGCCTAATGAAGGAATGCAATTACACTGATCTGAAAAGCCCAAACTTCCTAAAGAATGAGGCGTCCCCCTGGGCAACTCTGGAAATTTTGAGGTTGCGATTGCAACATATTGCAACAAATCTTAAAACAATAAACTGAGAGAAAGGTGTGAGAAGCTGTTCAGGCTGATAAACACACAAGCCTTTAGATCTCGGTGCTAAAATGGATTTTCTGATGCAGCTTCCAAACAGCAGCACTGGCCAGTCTCTTCAGAAGATCATATAAAAATTATGTTAGAATAACAAAGCACTAATTACAAATCAGTAAGGTTGAAAATCCCATATGGGATTTTCTATATGTCTACTATGTCTACTATATGTCTACTGCAATTATTTTAAATTTAGTCAGATTGAGACTTTTAGACTTAAATCAGCATATTTCTAAGATTCTTCCTTCAAACAGGTAAGATATTTTTCTCCCTCAAATAAACTTGTAGTATATAATTTTATCTCAAAAATAATAAGTAATGTATAATAGGAACAATGAATGAGATCTTAAAAAATACTAAATGCAGAAATTTCTCTTTGGATGTGCTGATCTTTTGAGACTTGAGTTTAATAACTCTCTTAAGGGTAAGTAGTGACTTAAAGACAGTTTCCCTATCAGGAAAAAATGCTAGAATATTTAATCCACTAATAAAAAGATTTTTCTTTTTTTTCTGAGCTTTGAGAAGGCAGAAGTGGTTCATAGTTCATTTTAAAGCTTTTGATTCTTTAGGCTTAAATGACCTTTAGAATTCTCACGGGTGCCAGAATTAAGACACGCAATAAAAGCAGTCAAAGTCCCCCACAAAAATTTCTGCATTCTAAATATTTTTTAAAAAATATGCAGAAATTCTAATTTCTAACAAGCATAAAACATGTAAGACACAGAGTTCCTTATTCCATGCAAAATTCTGCAAAATTCTGCAATTGACATTGTGTAAACAGTGATAACTGTTTAAGTCATGATTCTGGTAAAGAAAGAAAAAAGACTTTTTTGGGAGGTAAAGACTACATACATGAAGACATACTCTATATTTATATATGTATTTTTGTTATTTGATAACTTTTGCAGCTTAGAGCAAGAAGGCAACAGAGCTAACAGAGGATTACTGAGTAATTTTGCTTATAACCACAGGTTTCACAAAAGATTGAAGTAACATGACTTTCAGCGAAAGGATTCTTCTCACCAAATTTGATAACATATGGTTGGGAATGATAGCAATTCTTTCTGTGATATTTAACATAGGAGGGCTTAATCTTGTTTATTAAAATAAGATTCAAGCTGTAGGAGAGAAACATATATAGGCTTTTCTAAAATTTACAAGAAATATTTCTAATTTGTCTAATCATCATTAATTTCATCTTTAAGATTACTCATAAGCTTTGTTATCTGCAATGCTAATATAGCCATTAACAACATAGACTTAAGACTTTATAAAGTATATCACATGTATATACTTAGAAAGTATATCACATGTAACATAGTAAAATCTTTTTTTTTAAATACAAGATACCATCAAGATAACATCTTTTATAGCCCTGGGCACAGTATAATGCATTTTTCTGAATAAAAGATGGCTTGCTTTAGCTCCAAACCATACACTTCCAAAATTAAAAATAATCTGTTTTACCACTAGACTTGTTGATGAGGGGAAAAACTGGAACAAACGATATATGACTTTTCAATGGTTTACTCTCTCCTTACCCCTATTGCCATGTAAACTTCAGAGTCAGAAAGAAATATATCTTGCAACTGTTATGCTTTCTTCTGCTCATTTTCTTAGTTTTAGAATCAGATTCTAGCAAATACTAGAAACACATATTCATGTATCTCTAGCTTTATGTTCTCACTCAGTCTCATATGAGGATTCATTTTTGGTACCTGAAAGCAGTCACTTACCTTTGCCATTTGGTCTGCTAGTTGTAGACGTCCATCTAATTCACGTCTGATCTGGGCTGCTTGTTCATCTGCATTATCCAACTTAGGCAGAAAACAAAAATAAAGTTGACTGTGACAAGCATGCACTGTATTTTAATTTTATATGAACTAATGTAGTTAAAAACTAGAAATGAATCACATACTTCACATTTTAAAGTTAATAAAGTACTATGAAAATGTATAGCTTTGAACTTCACCAAAATGAGAGAAAGGTACAGGCCACCAGTTTTCCAAGGCAGTCAGTGACTTGACATGCACAGCTGGTGCTCCACTGAAATTTTAATACTCAACTAAATAGAAGTAACATTTTTCCTTATGAAAATAGCAGTTGAAAACATTTCTCCATGAAGCAGAAAACTAGACTGACAAACTTGCATAGAAAATGCAAGAAGAAAATTTTGTTCTTTAGTCCCATAAGTTTCCACAAGAGTAGACCTGAGGAAAGAAAAACTGTGTGGCTGTAACTTCTAAACAAAACAAAATTTCACTCTTTGACCCAACCACTGGCCAACAGCTCAGAGTACAGCTTATCTTATTTACTGTACCTACAATATATAGAAGAACACAGAGGAAAGACTCATGAGACAACCTCCAATTCCAACCAGGGAGAAAGAGGAGCAGCATTTCTTTACCAAAACAATGTAGCTGACTCTCAACAAGGAGCCTCACTAAGTCATTTGTCACCTGTTGAATTGTGAGAAGGGTGGGAAAAAAGCCTATATAAAGTGGTTTCTTCTTTGGGGGAGAAACGTCTTACCACGACAGCACTGCACATGGGGTCCTCTACTCCATCCCTGCCACAAGCCACTGCTGGCACAACACCAGACGCTCATCTGACCCTCTGCATTTAGCATGCAGCTGAGGTTTAAGGATACACGGATTGTTCTCCATTAAAAAACAATCTTAAAGTGATTAGCGATGAAATTTGGAGAAAAGCAGACCTCTTTAATTAGATCAGCACTTCAACTAAAGAATATAAAATAAGTTTGTCTGGAAAATGGCTGATTACATCAAGCCAAGCTTTTTAAAAAATACTGTTTGGTGAAACAGCTCCATGTATAATAAATACCATTTCCCTTGTGACACTCCTCTGCTAAATTCAGTAGAACTCATTGAATCAAGGCTGTCTTGAAAATTAAGCATTTCTCTCTCTCAAGATCCAATAAAAAGGAAATAATTAAAATACACTATCCAGTGTTTTAAGGATCATTCTATAAAATCAATCTTACTATATGTAGAAATAGGATAGAAAACTCCCTGCTGCTAGAACGTAAGCCATAAAAAGATCCTTACTGATCCAGATGACCAGAAAACTAGAGAACAAAGCTATTGTGTCTCCAAACTGGAGAGTAGAGGATGGCCCTTCCAATGAAGTGTCCATTGGGTTGATCTCTGTGCCCTGTTTGACTGTTAGCATAAATGGCAAATACATTGTGGATTAAAGCAAATATTTGAGGTTTGCAATAAACAAACACTAAACTCCAAATATTGTACTTCTGTTTCTTAATAAAGTTACAAGAAATTGTTTATTGGACTTGCTACCGAGTAAGTCTCTAATTTCATTTTCCACTGAAAAAATAAAGTCAGTGAAATAGGAAAAAAAATTGCTCTCCCTTTTCATCAAAGAGAATGTGAACATTATTTAAAGAAAATACCCAGGATGATCAACTGTGTGAAAAATACATTCTTGATGGAATTTTGAAGGCATTATTATCATTTCTGCACAGAAAGACGACTAGAAGGAAGGAAAGTAGAATGAAATCAAAATTTTACTGCTTCAAGGTGCAATTTTTATGACTACTACAAACTTGGCTGAAGAGCCAAAAGCCTTTGTTTAGACTGATATCTATTTACTTATTTTTCCATTAAAAAACATGTGAAATGAACATGTAAGCTCTTGGACTTGTAAATCTTAGTATTTTTTTCTCAGATATTTCTTGCTTCCCCTTATTTGTTTACTCTTGATGTCTTTAAAATTGTGGAATTTCTCTATTTTATTTCACTTATTTTTCTCATAATATTTATACATTTTAATGATCCTAACTATTGTGAAATATGGAAAAAAGATGAAAACCTGAAACACTAAGGAACACTGTTTATAATAAAAACAAGGTAAGAATGGTAACCAGATTTATTCATAAGTGTCCTAATAATATGTAAAGCTGTTGATAGTAGACAGTATGCAAAACTAAGTGACAGTCAAAAGAAAAGTAACCTTGATATCATACTCCATTCAAGCTCATTCTGTTTTTATTCTAAATTCAAGAAAATTCATAAAAAAACTTTGTTCTTTGTTAGTGATTATGAATGATCCATCAATCAGATTTTAGATACCTACTGACTATAAAGCAACAATAGAACAAGTATATTATGAAGATGCAGATAGCAGCTGGAATTCTTAATTTGTACCTTTTTTTCTGTTAACATATGGCAAACTGGATACAACTCACAGTACATGTGGGAAATAGTGAAATGAGTTAACATCAAGTATGTATTTTTCAGTAACTTTGTATTCCTAGATTAAACACAGCTACAAGTCACGACAAACTATTGCAGTAGTCTCCAGATTCTAGATGAAAACTAGGAAAGCACACTGAATGGCTCACTCAAACTGATGCAAATGTAACATTACAGAATAGCAACTCAGAGATTTTTTTCTCAGTATTACACAGAAATTTGGCTTGAAATTCAACTTGAAATTCAAGCAAAAGTTTTTAAAAAAACTGGCAGTCACATGGCATTACATAATGTTTCTCAACCTCAGATGTGAAAGCATGTTATGCAAACAAACGATTTACTGAAATTCAACTATTTTCCACCTTTTTTTATTAGAATGATCTGCTTTCCAATTAATTTGCCACAGCAGATTTGAAAAAAATTATTTATTTGTTTAGACTGAGTCTAATGCTGCAGACGTAAAACAGGAGCTTAAGAATCACACAAGAGAAAGATGAAAAAAAAGAGCCCTGGAGATTATTTTCAGAGAGGCATTTAATAAAGGCATTTCAGCTTTCTACCGAAGGAGTAATTACTCCCTGTAGCTATTCATTGCCTCTGCCACTGTGGGTACCCTGCTCCTGTTGCTGAGACCTCACAAAACCAACAGTTCTGTTACTGAACAGCAGGAAGCTACAGAGATTTGTTTTCAGGGTGACATACACCAGAATTACTGACCAAGCAAATCACTGCTCTCCCTAAACATTATATTACAGGTCCCTGGAACTCGTAACATTTAGATAGGCACTGACACCTACTTTGGGGACTAGGTAATTCAGTAGGGAAAATTATCTATCTAGCAAGAGCATAAAAAAAATTGAGTGGTATCTACCTTCTGGTGAGATAGCTGTGTCACTTATGTTTTTACGCAGATTATTATTTGCATTTCAAAAGCTTCTTCAGACAATTCTGTAGCTTCAAGTGACTATACTTGAATAGATAAGAAGCTACTTTTCACTCAAAAAGGAAAAAAATGAGGAATCTCATACTATTGTCCCATCTTAATTTTTCAATGGTATCATATAAAACAGCTTTATAAACTAAGCACAAAACTCTTAGACTTCAAGCTATTCATTTGCAAATGTTTTTATCCATTAATAATATGGTGTATATTTACATTTGATTTTATGTGGTACAGCTTGTACACAGTAATTCTTTGTAACTGCTACTAGTTTTGTCATTTATAATTAATATCTCTGACAAATCCATTAACAACCAGTACTACATGTAATCAGCTTAAATTACTCCTGAAAAGCTAGTTGGAAAAAATACTAAATATATCAGTTAGAGGTTTGCTAAGTAGCACAGATTCTTTTAATATCACCAAACTTAAGAATTTTACATCTTCTGAATCCTCTCCCTATTCTGCAAATTAACAGGGAGTAGAGCTCAACCTAACATGGACAGTAAACAAGCAGGCACATGCTTGTTAAGGATGGGATTCAGCTCTTGGTTGAGGCTCTTAAATTTCAGTGTACATATTAAAACTAGACATCTCAGCTCTCTGTAAGTGCTAGACAATGGAGCCCTGGATAGGCCAGAAGACAGTTAAGGGAGTTATGAGAATATATCCCTGTGCCACGTGCTCTAGGTGACCCTGCGTGTGCAGGGGGGTTGGACTAGATGACCTCTGATGTCCCTTCCAACCTTAAGCATTCTATGATTCTATGATTCTATGAAAACCCGCAGAGATATGCGGAACAGCAAGAACTGAGATGCAATAAGGAAAATTTTTTAGAACAAAAAAGTCGAACACTTGTCCAAAGGGGAAAAAAAAAAAATCAAGGCTTTTATTTCAGGCTAGCTCTAGTCTCAGTAAACTAAATGCTCTCTAGTAGGCAGTTGGCACTGGTGGTTTAGCTTCATTCAAAAGTAGTTCAACTTGCTCACTCAGGCACTGATCCACTATGCAGACCAAAGTACTCCGACTGCGGATGTTTCAAAGAACATCCCTAATATCATCTCAACTGTTTAGAGCAGATGTCACTCAAACTAAATTCCGTCCTCATTTTTTTATATACATTTATGGACAGGTAAAAGAAAAGTCATCACATTGGTAGGGAACAAATTAATTTTTCATTGCTAACAGGTCCTCATCTGGAAAAATAAATTAATAAATGTGTGAAGCTTTTAAACAAACCAGAAGTAGCAGGTTGTTTAGTATGACATACAGAGACTAAAAGTAGTGCCTCGCACGTCTGAATTATCTCCAAAGAAGCATATATATGTACTGGTCTGTCACTGAGTCACCTGGGTCACGGAGTTCTGCCTCTCTAAAAGCTGGGGCTATTTAGGCAAAAGATTGTGCTCTGCAAACAGCTGTACCACTGCCTGAGCCTGTCCAGTTCCTGCCACAGCACTGCACCGGCATAGTTATTTATTTATTGATTTTTATCTTTATTTTAGAGATGGAGTTGTAACAGGCCTCAACATACCAATTGCTCTGTATTTCTCATTGCATGCTTTCTGTTGTTTATAATGTCAAATTCTAAGCTATAGACTAGAGTTTTCTATATCGTATTTTGGTTTAAACATTTGAACCAAGA